AGCTTCCAGAATCTTGCTTAGTTCACTTTCAATCTTCTCCTGAGCTTTTTCTAGCTTTTCAAATCTATGAGAACTTTCCTCCTCCATTTGCCTTGCTCTGGATCTTGTGTTGTATGGATGAGCAAGGTTTTCGCTAGATGGAGCTATCCTCGGACCTTGAGTACCATACTCATGATTAGAAATGTTATGCTGTGCCTTATGTATGATGCTTTGATACACAAATGAAATGTACATTTTTTGAATGAAATCTAGCATGAAATGAATGCAAATGATTGTGTTGAAACATGATCATGAAAAGAATACAGATGCATACAATCAGACAAACAACATAGTTAGTTTCATGAATGAAATGAAAGTAATGCTGATGCATAACATTACAAAAAATAATACACAAAGTTAAGCAATCAAAATGATTAGATAAACACCTTTTTTGTGTCCTAATTTCAGGGTATATCTATCATTGGGTAGAAAGGACTCTATCCTAGGGTTAGGCACTCTTAAGGTTCACTACATGTGGTTTTAAAGTCAGAGTCTAAAGGTCCTCAAATTGTTCCTTACATCCTTGTCCATCACAGACTAGTAAGGCACCCTAATCCTCACCCATTACAGGCTACAAGCGGAAAAGGTTCAATTTGAGTGGGAGTATTTCGCTAGCCACTGCGGAGGCATTAGACCTCACGAAAGCAATAGGTACTTTACTCCCTCCTAGAGGGACAGAGCTCGGGTGTAGAGCTCATGTTATGCACATGCACATGAATGACATAATTAACAAGGTAAATACATGAATGAATAACACATATATACAAAAATGGTTCAATTTTATTAGGCTTTTGGATAACACAAATTATTTGCTGGCCTGACTCTCAAGGTCCCCAGTGGAGTCGCCAAGCTGTCGTAACGTCTAGATCCGGGGATCTATCGCTAGACATTGACTTTTGGGAGTCGCCACCAATCTTTTTTATCTAGGTGCGATTGGCCACCTAAGGAATCTGTCCTTTTAGGGAACGCCTCAGTTTAAGAGTCCCTAAAAGAATAGGTTCAGGTCTACTAACCAGAACAGGGTTCGGGAGTTCGGTTACGTGTGAGGAAGGTTGTAGCACCCTCACAACGCCCATCAAAAGATGGTACCAGCTTAAATTTGTGTTATCCAAAAGCCTTAAAATTTTACCAAGTAGTTAGTTGTTGAAAATTATTCTCAATTGACTCTAATACTTTTAGCAAAAAATTGAGAAAATTCCCTCACCTCAAGAGTATGCAAGAAAAACTACTGTTTCACTTGCAGAGGCTCCGTCGTCGGATTATTTAAAGAAAAATCAAGATCAACCAATTAATTAATTATCGAAAATTATTCTCAATTGACTCTAATACTTTTAGCAGAAAATTGAGAAAATTCCCTCACCTCAGGAGTATGCAAGAAAAACTACTGTTTCACTTGCAGAGGCTCCGTCGTCGGATTAATTAAAGAAAAAAAAAATCAAAATCAGCCAAGTAATTAATTATCGGAAATTATTCTCAATTGACTCTAATACTTTTAGCAGAAAATTGAGAAAATTCCCTCACCTCAGGAGTATGCAAGAAAAACTACTGTTTTTACTTGTAGAGGCTCCGTCGTCGGATTAATTAAAGAAAAAAGAAAAAAAAATCAAGATCAAAATCAAAGTCAAATAAAAAAAATTCAAAAAAATTCAAAAAAAAAAAAAAAAAAAAAACCTGGAGCGGCTCGGATCGCGGCTCGGCTTGGTGCGGCTCGGCTCGGCTCGGCTCGGCTCGGAGGGGCTGAAACGCGCGGGTCAGAAAGCGGGTCGACGCCCGGGTCTGGTCGGGTTTTCGGCAAAACGCGCGGATCCTCTGATTAACTTAAAGCCAAAACGACGTCGTTTTGGGAGGGTATAAAAGGCACTACCCTCTGTTTTTCGGCAGACCGCCCCTCCTCTCTCTCTCTCTTCTTCCTTCTTTCCTCTGCCTTCTCTCTAAAGACTGAAGAACACCGGTGGGATTTCGCCGGATTCTGGAAATTCTCGCCGGAATCTGGAAAATTTCGCCGGAAGTTCGCCGGAAGTTGCCGAAAGATCGCCGGTTTCTGGGATTCTTCGCCGGAAACTGGGCTGGTTGCCGAAAACTTCAAGTTTGGCCGGAACTATCGCCGGAAAATTCAAACTTCGCCAGAATTTTTGCCGGAATCTGGAAATTTCCCAGAAATTTCCAGAAAATTTTTTCGCCAAAAATTTCTAGAAATTTTTTCTCACTCCTAGACCACTCCTAAACTTTTCCTAGCTTCCTATACGCCTCCTTTTCTCTCAAATCAGTAGCTTTGCTTACTGTTTTCTGTGTGTTCTTGAACTGTTCCAAAGGGTCCTTTATATAGGGGTTGATCAGGAGTTTCTGATCAATCCCAACTCCTCCTTGGACGGGGATTCAGTCTTTGAATCCAATTGGACTCTTTAGATTGAATCCCCACTCCCAGTAGGATTCTTCAGCTTCAATCTCAACCTTCCAAAAAAAAAAAAAATCAAATAAATATAAAAAATAATAGATAATTAGAACAGATAAATAAAAAGATATTATAGTAAAAAAATATCTGATAATCAGGAAAAAATCAGAACAGATAATTTAAAAAAAATAATAATAAAATAAGATAAATCCAAAAATATCTTACAAAAATAATAATAATAATAATAATAATAAATATATAACTATATAAATAATATACATATAAATCTAATCTGAATAAAAATAAATAAATGAATAAAGATATACATAATAATAATAATAATAGAATACATAAAATACAAAAGAAAAAAATATACAGGATTGAAATGGGCCTTACCCATTTGGGCCAGGCCCAATTGATCTGGGCCCGGACCCAATTGGGTGTCTACAATAGGGAAATGGGCAATGTAGCTTTTAGTTTCAGGGGGCTTAGGCCCTGAAAAAGGTAACGCCCAAACAAAAGGCTCAACATCCAGCTGACACGACAGGACTGTTAAACCAAAAACTCAAATATCAGGTCAAGGTCTTGAATGACTTGGGGTGAATTTCATTGGGATAAGATAGTCTAAACTCTTACACTACACGACGGAGGTCGAAATCTTATTGGGTTGAATAAGAAATGGGCACTTCATGTTGAATGCTTGATGTTCCCTTTTCAAGCAAGAAGAGTTCTTTTGTCCCTAAGGAGTCACCCAACAGTTATGAGATGATGGTTTCATTCCAAAGGATCCAATCACAAACAGATAGAACACAAACAAATAGCTAAAGCGCAAGTATTAGGCAAACAGATAAACAGGTCTGGTTCAAGACACATGATCGTCAAAGAAAGTAAAAGCTTTGAACAAACGGCGCCTTGCAGGGTTTGGCTGAATTTTCCCACACCATAAGAGCTACCCGCAGTGGTTTGATTTGAAGCCAAATGGCTCTGACCCTCTTGACCTCACGGTTTTGTCCTACAAAAGACGTCTCATAAGGCGGAGATGGTGTGAACCCTTTTATACCTCAGTGACCCTCCTATTATGTTCGATATGTGATTCATGACTCTTCCTTATTAACATTCTCCCGCACCCAATCTCGTGATGCCCTTGTCACGGAGGCTGGCCACCCTGTCTACCTCCCTCGAGGTGCTTGGCGTGGATCGAACGATTTAGGGCTGGCTTTGATACCACTTGTCACGGGTCGAGACTTAAGCTCCGAACCCGCACGGTTTCGGAACCCGAGCATTCACCCTTCCGGCGTCCCGAATCAGCCTGACCATCACGGTTCATATTTTTGTGAGGTATTGTTCGCTCTAGCCCCCTGGCCTCACGGTTTTGTCTTACAAAAGGCACCTCACAAGGCAAAAATGGTGTGAACCCTTTTATACCCCAGTGACCCTCCTATTATGTTCGATGTGAGATTCAAGACTCTTCCTTAGATCCGTGACACATGCACCTAAGTATCTCAATTTGACAGTAACTACAAAGAGAAACACAAGACAATATTGTAATTACATTCATCTTATAGAAAGCCCACAAGCTATGACTATTTCTATCACCTAGCTATAGTTAATTGTAACCTTTTAAAACGGATGATTATATTTTTATTTGCCTTTATGCATAAAAAAAAAAGATAATTAGCAAAAAATCTCAATCAGACAGATCCTATAAAAGTAATAGTATATGAAAAAGTGTAGCAAAAATTGAAGGATTCTCATGAAATGTTGCTGATAACAAACAAGCTAAATAGATTGGATGAAATCGTCTCACCTGCTTGCACTTTTATTTTTTACCAAAGTATCCGGACCAATTTACCTATGATCATTTCAAAATCAATGCAAGTGTTAGATATTTCAGGAAGATGGATGAATTGACTAGCACATATCATTTAGAGCAATTTTCTTATAATTCTGTATTCTGGAAAATTTAATATGAAAAAAGAAATCTCATAAAGGAAGAAAAAAGAATGAGAGATTGGTAAACACTTTGAGCGCGGCTTGACGATCTACTAATCTTCAATATGAACCTCTTGAACGTGTGCAATCTTGGACCAATCAGCACCAACCCCAGGTTGTCAATTTTGGCGTAGCGCAGGACATATTTGAATCTTTACTTGTCTAAGTGCAGTGAGGCGATTCAGTCCTTCGGGAACAGAGGATAATGCTGGACAACTTTCAAGCTCCAACCTGTTAAGTGATGTGAGCTTTTGCATCCATTCTGATGGTACCTTGAAGTTGGGACATCTCCTTATTAGCATGGATTTAAAAAGGCTAGCTGATCCTTGAAGAAGCAACCGTGGCAAATCCTTCAGCGCTTCTGCTTCCAATATTGTTAAAGTTTTGAAGGTCTTGGTCTTCTTCTCCTTGTTCCATTGACAAATTGATTTTTTGACAGCCATTGATATTGATTTCCTCTAATTTGGTTAGAAATTTCAGACTTCTTGGCAGTGAAATCAATCTAGAGCAGCTTTGGATATCCAATCTTCCAAGTGATGTGAGGTGTTGCGTCCCATCAAATATAGATTCTATCATATCACAGTCGAACAAGAGCAACAACTGAAGCGAACTCTAACATCCTGGTTGAATATCCCTTAAAAACACAGAATCTGTGGCTATCTCTAGAAATCTGAGACTTAATCAAGCTTTGCAAACATTCAGGTACTTCAATCAGTGGAACGCCAGCTAACCGTAAAGTCAGCAAGCTCTGAAGTTTACGGATAGAAGTAGGAAGTTTCCTCATTCTTCGACAGCTGGATAAGTCAAGATATCTTAAATGCTTCCAGGTGCCAACGGAATTGGGCAATACATCCAAAGATGAAGAGGAGAGATCAAGTAGCCGAAGGAACTCGAAATTCAAGATAGAAGCATTTACAAAATGTTCCTCAATTATCCTATTTCTTCCTGAAGAAGGTAGGATTACTAATGTCCGCACAACTTTTAAATTCTTCGAAAATGATTGTGGAGCTCCTAATGGATTATCATCCAAAAATAACAGATGTCGAGTATTTTCAGTAGCATTTACTGTATGAGGATAAATTGTTAAGCAGTCATCTTGAGACTCATTTGACAAGAGATCATGCATTAGGCCATGGATTTTAAATGTGTAACCTCAACCATAATTCTTTGAAATATCGTAACCCAACATCTTCTCACTCTTCATTTTGCTTAGGGCCTTCAATAAGTCCAATGGCCATCCAGAATTGGACGATGTAATCAGTATCATAAATAGTGTCCTTTGGAAACAATGACAAATAAGTTAGACACCTTTGCAAATGAGATGGCAAATGACTATAACTCAATTTCAGCATAGGTAGGATGTCATTTTCATTTTGATTAAGTTTCCATATGTCATTATCTTTTATAAATTCCCATTCATGAAGCTCAGTTTTCATGTAGAGTAAGCTCCCTAAAGTTCTCACCGCCAATGGAACCCCTTTGAATTTTTTCACAATTTCGTCACCAATTCTCATAAGGTTTCGATAAACTTTCTCATCCCCTTCCTGAAATGCCCGTTTTACAAAGACAGACAATCTTTGTGGCTAAGACCATTCAAGTTGTACGGAGCAATAGTACCCACTGTCGAAGCAACTTTTGAACTTCGTGTAGTCATAATAATTTTACTTTGTTGAAAGTTACCCATTGTCATTAGTAAATCTCTCAGTTCCATCCATTTTACATGATCTTTGTTCCATACATCATCTAAAACAAGCAAAAAAGTTTTACCATTTAAAAGCATTCGCAAATGAGTTTGCAATGCATTAACTGGTAAGCCATTACATCTTTCCTCCGTAATGGAGTAAATAATATCACAGAGCAACCTAGCAAGATCAAACTCATTTGACACGTACACCCATATTTTTAAGGGAAAGACCTTAGTGATCGTTTCATCGTTGTACACAAGTTGAGCAAGTGTGGTTTTCCTTAAACCTCCGATTCCAACTATAGGGATGACGGGTATTTTTTAAAAAATGGTTGGCTTGACTAAAACATCTATGATGTTTTCTTTGGCTTGATTTCGACCCATCACATTAGAGGGTATAACGAAAGAGTGGGCATCTCTAAGACTAACATGTCGGTTCTGAACTTTCTCTTCAAGTCCAAGATTAAATTTTTTGAAATCACTAGCAATCGTATCTAGCTTTTCATTGATTCTTTTGATTTTATGACTTCTCCTTAAAGGGAATGCAAATGGAATAGAGAGGGCAGGGAATTGTACCAATTTGGTGGTGGTGCTTCCACGATTGATCAACTCTTTTTGCAGCGCTTCACACCTGAATTTATCAAGCACATCTTTAGCATCATATAAGACGTCTCTAAGCTTTCCCAAACTAAGGCGAAACGTCTTATTTGTTAGACCTAAAGCAACAAATACAACAACGCAGAAGTAATATATTATAAAACAATAATTAACATTCAACAACATAAGAAAAATAAAGCACATTAAAATTTATGTGAAAAACCCTTCAGTATAAAGGAAAAAATTCACGAACCATTAGAAAAATCTTTACTATTAAATAATGAATATACAAAGTTCTCTTCTAGTTAAAATTAGAGCTAGTCAATAACTAGAAAGATAATTGAAGAAATCTCATCAAATCGGTGACTCAACAAATATTCCTTAAATTTGTTCCTAAAAAGCTTCAAACCTGATTTTTACTGTTTAGAATGTGAAACTCTGAATCGCAAACATGTTGACAAAGTTTTAACTCAATCAAACCATAGATTGATTATGTTTAACTAACTCTCTTTTCTCTCTTTTCTCTTTATTTTTTTGGCTTTTCATTTTTGTATTTGACACTTAACCCTCTGTTTCTTACCAAAAAATACAACTTTTTTTTTCTTTTATTACCTAGGGCTCTCTTAGGGTAGCCTAAAACTTTGAATGGTTAAGACCAATATCATGGGGTTGAATCCCACATATTCCTAACAATATCTTTATTTAACCCCAATATAAGGAGATTCATTACCATGGCAATTTCATTTGGAACTTACCTTACCCAAGAAACCTATTCTGGCCAAGTTACTGCAGAGCTCAAGCTTTTTTCTAGGAAGTATCTTAGTCAACATATCTACCACATTCTCATAAATATGACTTTTCTCAATAGCATCTGTTGTTCTTCAATTATCAAAAGTAACCAATGACATCTAACAATCAATGCACTTCGATCTAGCATGGTACATAGCATTCTTACTTAAATCTGAAGCATTCTGACTATCACAAAATATCACATACTTTTTTTTATTTAACCTCAATCCAAGAAAAAAAAGTTTCATCCAAAGCATTTCTTTACTTGCTTCGGTTATTGTAATATACTTAGCCTTTGTAGTTGATAAGGTAACACACTTTTACAACTTAGAATATCAAGACATAGCTTTTTCTGTAAAAGTGAACAAATACCCTAAAGTAAATTTTCTACCATCAAGATCATCTGTTAAGTTAGCATTAGTAAACCCTTCTAGAATTGGTTGTGAAATTTCGTAACTCAAACATATTTTTGAGGTGCCCTTTAAATATCTAAAAATTCATTTCACTACTTCTCAGTGAACCTTCCCTAAATTAGAAAGAAATCTACTCATTACACCAACTGCATAAGCAATGTTAGGTCATGTGCAAACTATAAGATACATCAAGAAATCGACTACAGAAGAATAAGAAATACTAGACATAGCTAATTACTTTTCTTTAGTCATCAGATAAGATTTTTTACTCAACATTAAATTTTTGAAAATGGACTACTAATATTAGCATGTTATAGTTTTGAATTATACAAAATCATTTGACATTTTTTTTGGCAACAAATTTTTAGCTCTTTATCTGATAATATTCATCCAAGAATTTGCCTTGTTACTTAAATCTTTCATGTTAAAGACTTAGATAATTGTTTTCCACTTATGAACCATATAACATTAATTTGTCCGCAATCAACATATCATCACATATTAAGATAATATGAATTACCATCTTTTTTTGACATTCTCATAAAATTCGTTACTTTTTTTTATAGCTTTCTACATAAAAATCAAATTTTTATACTATCAGGGCTTATTCAAGTATACATTTTTTTTTCTCATTTTACAAAACTAAGTACTTTTTTTTATCAAAATTTACTAATCCATATAAATATTCTCTTGCAAGTCACTATGCAAGAATGCAGTCTTGACATCAAGTTGTTTAAGCTCAAGATTCAAACTAGCTACTAATCCTAGTACTACTTGAATAGAACTCATCTTTTACAACTGGAGAGAAGATCTCATTAAAATCAATGTCAAATTTTTGACAAAAACCTTTTACCACCAATCGAGTTTTGTATCTCATTAGCTTATCACCTTCTTTAAATGTAAAATTAATAGTAATGGTGAAATAAAATATAGTAAAAATAAAAAATTATCATTAAAAACATTACATTAACATTAAATTAAAATTTATGTATAATAAATTTATATATTTTTAATATTTTTAAATTAATAAATAATTACAAAATTTTAAATTTTTTAATATCAAATAATATTTTTATCTAATGTCCTTAACATGGAACAAGTGACAATAGCAAGGGGAAATGGAACAAGTGACAGTAGCAAGGGGCGATAATACGAAGGAGGAGGCAATTTAGGGTTAAAAATTTAAGATGGTGACAGAAACAGAAAGAGAGAGAAATAAGTTAAAAAAAATCATATTTTAGGTTTTTTTAAATAAAAACTCATTTAAGGGCATGATAAGAATATAAAAAAAATAATGTGAATAAAAAAGATTTATTGGCATTGAACCCCAAAAGTCCTGTCTTCAACTGATGTTTTAGTGCGATTCACGCTAGTAAACTCACCATCATTGATGTTATCCAAATATGAATCACGGTGAGATTGAAGGAAAAAAGTGTAGAAAACGCAACACACTGAAGCTTCAGTTAAATCCAACTGAGGCCTTAGAAAAAGATGTCCCGTAGCTTCACTAACATAGATAAAATTAAGAGTATAATCAATAAAGTTTGAATAAATATAACATTAAATTTAAAATTAATTTTAATTTCAAATTTAAAGTTTTAAACTCGATCGAATTTTTTTTTTTTTAATTTAAGTTTGATTCGAAATAAAAATTTAACTATTAAAATTCATTTGATTAATCTTAATTAATATATAAAAATAAACTCAATTCTTATATTCGATAAAAACTTAATTATTTATACTTGAGTTTAAAATATTTTATCAATTAAAATAATTAAAATATATTAAAATATAAAAATTCAATTAAACTTGTGAACTACTCGAGTCGAATATAAAAATACTTAAGATCAACTCGATCGATAAATCGAGCTACTCGAACTCGAACTCAAACTCGATAATAATTGAACCAAATTAAAATTTTATTTATATTAAATTCGAATAATTTATAAATACTAATATATCATTTACACTCTTAAAGAGACCGACACAATGAAGCCTGGAGAAATAAAGATACGGCTAATGTTTCGGATATTTGATGCCTCAGCCCCATTAAGCTGAGGCAAAGAGTAAATATCAACAAACCTGCGGTAATAATGCAAAGGGAAACCGTGAAGGATAACCAATCTATTAGTATGCATAAACACCATCAACATGAAGCTGTTAATTGGAATTTTATTACAATAACACAAAAACTAAAAGAGAAATTCTACAAGAACGTACACAATGCTTCTAGTTTTTTTGCTACAAGAAGATTGAACAAGTTTTATTTGCAATCAACTTAAATTTATAAAACAGGAGATTATTACAAATATACGAGCTACAGGATTACCGTCGCCATTACCAGAGCAGTATCTATAAATACTACATGCATGCATCGATCAACCATCCCTTTCATCAAACATTTTACAATCTGAATTGCATTTAATTTCATTTACAGATCCTAACGAAAAGGGAATCTAGTAATTCAAAGTTGATACAGTGCTCACTCCCAGTCAGCATCAAAGAAACCAGCATCTTTCATCTCTGAATAGTACACATTCTCTAAGTGCAAGTCTTCCTCCTGCAGGCATTGGAGATACTTTTACCGTACTAACATATTATAAGGTGCTAAAGAATCAATAACAAGATAAAATTTTTGCAATGAATCCGAAATAAATGTTTACCTGGAAAAAATCTGCCAGAAAAGTTATATACAGAAGAGGAAGGTACAAGGCGTGGTAGCAAACAATTGTGGCACTGTACAACCTGTCAATCTTATTCTTTTAAAAAAAACCCTTGGAAAAGAACATAATATACTAATATAAATAACAAACAGAATTCTTCAATTTAAAAAGGGCATCAAGCTTGTATTTACCAAAACCCAAAACTAGCACCATTTCCAGTTAGTCCACAAGCAATCAGTGCTAGTGCATTCAAGATGAACATGATTGCAACATATTTGTAGAATGCAGGTCTTGCTGCAGAACAAGAGAGAAGATTCCAAGTGACACAACTAAGCGACTACTGTTAAATAACCTGCACAAATGTATGTGACTTAGATGAACATACCAGGTAACCTTTCTCTCCACTTAGAGTGGTACATAAACAGTATGAAGCCATAAATAGCAGTCAGCACTAGCCTGTGAACAACCCACAAGCCCCATTTCACTTGATGTGTATGTTCGGTGTTGTCAGTGAACATAGGGACACCAAATCCAAATAGGTAAATAGCCTAAACGAGGGAAAAGAACATTGAAATATTAATGTCACAACATATTAAGCATTGATGCAAAAATATTATAAAGAATTCAAAAGGGGAAAAACACAAAAAGGAATGACATTGTGTGTCTTTCCATATTAGAAAATAAAACAACTTAAATACGTATAAACAATCATACTTAGCATTCTAGATTGCTTAAGAAGTTAAAGTAGGTCAACAATCTAAATATAGGCCACAGGAATGGTGACTCTGCTATTTAGTAAAGTACAGTAAGGAAGAAACTGTTTTGTTTTTCCACCACCGTCTGATTCACCAGCAACAGATATGGAACTTCAAAGAAGGTTAAAATATTCAAGAATAAAAGAAGTACCTTCAGAAGTAAGTCCAAACCAACAATAAGCCCCGAAACAACAAATGTTCGAGTCAAAGCCTCCAACCCACTAGCATAATTTCCTTGAAGTAAAAATGCCACCAAGCTAACTTCCAGGAACAGCATCCCAGAAGTTGTAAACAACGATAAGATATTCCATGTCATTTCCTTTCCAGGACTGCATTCCCAGGCCTGCATCAATCAGTAAATAGTGTAAACTTAGCCATCCAGCTATGAAGTGGAAAAAGTTAACTTACTCGCAACTAGAATAAGAATCTTCAAGGGTCAATGCAGGTCATGTTTCATAAATCCTAGCGGATATGAGTTCTCTCAAAGCATATAGTTTAGTACCCTAACTCTTCAAACTATCAAACGATAAGCAGCCAAGCTGCTTAACACAACTCATTTTCAAAGAAGCCAAATTAAGAAGAAAACAGTATCTGTTAAGGATCACCAATATACAATTCATATGGAAAAAAAAAAGTAAAAGAAAAAAAAAATTTACTCATGCTTACGAAACGGAAACATACACTATGAAAAAGGAACAATCATGATATTATACACCATTCATGATAATGAATGAGTTAGTCGCAAACTCATGCCATACCAAAAGCTTAGTGCCTAGACGCATCTATTGAACATCTAAGCTCGACAAAGAAGGCTTTTGCTATACATATTTTCATTTCACTGATCTATATATTATCATTATTGGCTTCTGAGCATTGTTCTTACATACGACATCAAAGAAGCCTAACCTAAAAACTAAAACTTGAAAACTGTCCAATAATCCAATTTGTAATTTACCATAACGCGAAAAATCATCAAGTATAGTAACTTTCAAGCCATTTCTAATGAACCCAAGACACCCAAATTACATTCCACTAATTTAGGTACCATTTAGTTGTTGCGTATGCCATAGATGCAAAGAAAAAAAAAGAGTATTTTGGATATAAACTAAACAAACTTGTGAAGAATTAAAAATAAAAAGTGCATTCATTTCCTAGAAACAACAAAAAGCAATTTAATTTCATCCTTTAAGAAATCAACAAGCTAATTCAAGAACAACCCAAATGTTTAAAATCGACTTAGAGAAAAAAGAAAACCCTCAAACCTGAAGAGAACACCAAGCAAGATTGAGCAAGCTAACAAGCCAAAGGCAACCGTAATAAGAAATCATGATATAAGACCTGCCATGAGAGAGCTTTTGGAAGCTTCTTTTGGCTTGAAAACCTAAGAAAAGAACAAATAGAAGAGAAGGAATAACAAGAGCTAAGTTATGCCAAATTCCATGACATTCAAAGAGCCATCCATACAACCCATTAACAGAAGAAGAAGAAGAATTGTTAGGGTTTTGAGGAAATGAGGAATCTGTGATGCTTTCAAGAGACTGCATCTTTTAGTAGTTTAATTTCATAAAGAAAATAGGGAAGAAAACAAGTTAGAAAAAAAAAGAATCAGAGATGGGAAATTGAGATTCTCAGGATTTGGTTTTGTAATTTCGAAAGGTTCGGGTTTGTTGATCGAATCACGAAATCAGGTGGCTGACTTGCTGGTGAAAGAAATTAAAAAAATATTGTTTGAAAAGTAGTTTGGGAAAATGAAAAAGTTAACAGATTTTCGTGGACTAAGTTTGGGTTCTTAGGCTACTTAAACTATGGATCCAAGAACCTGAATTTTGGATCATATTGGGTTTTAGCCCACCGTGAATTCTGGAAAAAAAAATCTAAAGGCTTATATAGCCCACAGAATCCTGTGTCAAATGTTTTACTTTCATTTAATTTTTGAGTTCGTTTTTCTGTATTATTTGTGTAATTTTTTAATTTCACCCACGAAATTAAAAGATTAATATATTTTTATTTCTAATTATATTTTTTATTTTCAATACATATGTATTATCTTATTAATTTGTCCTAAGAAGTTTAAAAAATTATAATAAGGGTATCATTAGATGTTATTTTTAATATTATCATGAAAATATAATCATCTAAATGATTTTATTATTAAGGTGATTTTGTTAAAGTTATTAATATCATATTGGATAATATTTTAATTTTTTTTAAATAATATATATCGGTACCAATTGTTTCGATATATTATTTTGGATTTTTTGTTTTAGTACAAATATATTTATAAACATACATAAACTTGTACATTATAATACTATTAATAATTTACAAACTAAATATGCAATATTTTCAAAAATCAAATAAATAAGTTTAAAAGTATCAGAAACAATATTATAAATTTTTCATAATATTTTCAAACACTTAATCCGATCATATGTTATTTAAATAAATATTTTTTATGTAAATATTAAGATAAAAACAAAGAGAATAAAAAAGTTAACCAATGCTTTATGATTGTTAAACTTTATAAAATGAGCATAATTACTTTCTTAAAAAAATTGAAATATTAATAAATTTTAATTTGAAAAAATAAATTATAAAATTATAAACTTTGATTTGAAAAGATAAAGTATAAAAAAAATTAAAATAAAAAATAAAGAAACTAAACCTTTAAAGATTATTTTGTCAATTAATTTTGTTTTTATTAGGTTAAAATAATTAATCTATAAAGGTTAAGTTAAAAATTATAAAATATATTTTACAGTTACTAACTAATCAAAATAAGCTATTCCACCAAAATTCATTAAAACTTATTGAAACTAACAAAAACAATTAGTTTTATCTTGTAACAAATTCAGTACAAAAAATCATCTCTTGGTGTATTGTATTTTGATATAGTTATCGCATACTGATCTGTATCAAAATGAAATTAATAACTATGAGTTTTATTATTCGTGATTTAAAATCATTTTTTTGTTAACAATAATTAATTCATACGAATAAAAAATCATTATATTTGAATTATTAAAAATAAAATATTATTTATTTAAAAATACAAAAATAACAATTTTATTGTAATAATTACAAATTAATGATTTAAATATTATTTAAAGATAATAATTCATAAAAAATGGCAATATTTTATTTATTTTATACTATAATTAAATTATTAAATATATTTATTTATTAAATAAACTAATTTTTATAATATAAATTATGTTAAAAAATTGAATTAAAAAAATAAAATTAATCTATTAAAATTATAATAAAAAAAGATATTTTATTATATATAAAACAATAAAAAAGTAAAAAATACTCAAACTATTTTTTAATTTGTTATAATGAATATTAGTTTAAAATATAAAAATTTATAATATAAAATAATTATAATTTTAAGAAAAATCAAAATTTTAATTCACATATTAAATAAGTAATATTGATTATTACTAATTTTATATATTAGGATGATAAAAGCTTTTCATCATTTCAAATGAGAATTAGATTATCCTTCAAAATCACAATCACATAGGATCATTAAGTATTTATCAAACATGATAATCTAATCATTGTATATAAATTATCATAATTTTTGAAGTGATCACTTAATATCAAACACTACTAATTGTTAATGAAAGAATTTCTCTTAATTTTTTTTAATCTCTTTTATATAATATACTATTAGCGGATTTTAGTCTCTTTCAACAGTATTTAATTAATGTTTTGGTTTTTTTTTTTTATTATTTCCCCTGTAACTTGTCATTTCATTGGTGTGGGTCTCAATTTTATTATCCTTTCAAATTTCATGGGTATTTATCCCTTTGATTGCTTTTTTTTCAAGTAAGTCATGCCCTCATCTATCTTCCACTTGCATAATTTCTCTCAAAAGTTCCTGCCTTTGGGTTTCACTCTCTTGCATGATTTCTTCCTAAAAAACAGATGTTTGTTTTTATCCTTTTACTACTTATTGCTAGAACTAACAAGAAATTTAGCACATATGCAATTTATAGGACAATTCTTTTGCTAATCAATTGAAACATCAAATACAAGTTGAAAATGAAAGAGAATTACAGAATCAATTTCTTTTTTCACTGGTCTCTGAAGTCTGTGTTAAAACAATTAAACATCTATGAAATCAAAAGGGATTGACCGTGTTGCACATTCCCGGATTCTTAACACACCACAGTGGCTGAATTGGCTCAGCCTTGATCCCTCTACTTACCATTCTATACCTCCATTCATTCAACCTATCAGTTGCCTCAGCATACCTCTTTTTCCCTGTCTCATCCCGGTTTCCTGACCATAATGTCTCTGCCATTGCTGAAGTTCTTGGCCAAATCCTCGCATCCACAACTGTAGGATCAGCTTGTTCTGACCACAATGCCACCTCTCCACCTAGCACTAATTTGGCGTCGTCTTCACTCAAACCATAAGTTATGTCATAGTTATAAATAGTTTGCCACGTTTTAAATGGTCCACACCAAGACCCTCCATTTCCAGAGTTAGCCGTTGTTTGCTGATCATATTGGCTATCATTGCCAAGAAAATTCCCATGGCCACAATCCAGATAATAGAATTCTGAAGATGATACAATTGCCCGATATCCCGCTTCAACGATCTTTTTGGTGTTGTTTGAGCCATTGTTCCATGTTTGTAAAATGGTATGTTCCCTTGGAAGAAATGAGGGGTCTATTTTGATATTTTCATCTAATAAAACATCCTCCCAATAGACTACAGTACGATTAAGGGATAGAATGTAAGGCAAAGTGGAGTTCACAAAGGTTTCCAGGAGCTGGCTAAGAGTTCCACCGTCAAAAAGGAAAGTTTGAATGGTTGGATCAGCTTTCCAACATCCAGGAATTATCTCATCAGCTCCTCCATGGTAGAATGGTTCAGGGAATAGCATGGCTACATCACGAATTACGTTCTTGAGAACTTGGTAGGTTTTGGGGTTCAAGGGGTTTAGATGGCCAGTTCCTGGTTCAGATGCAAGCCTGTCATCCCCTTGACTTCCAGCTGGCCACCAGAACATGTTTGCACACGCCACTATCTCCGGGTAGGCTTCTGCCCATGATCCCGTATGGCCTGCAATTGCAATTGAAAAATATTTTGATAATCTCATTTCATGTTGTGTGCAGTGTGCAAAGAGAGTGCTTTGTTTTGTAGAATTGGACTTCACTCAACTCTAAAATCATAAAATACAACAAAAATTTTACATATGTCAATTTATAAACTGATATATAAAAGCATGAAACTATTATTATCAGTTAATATAAAAATGAACAGTCATACCACGCTTTTTTAGAGGAAAAAGTTACTGTTATGACAAGCTCACCTGGTGAATCGATTTCTGGTAGGACTCTGACCCCATGTTCCAAGCCAAACTGAACAATCTTAGCCACATCTGAGGGAAAGTATATCATGTCAGGTCCATAAGATCCCTTGGCACCAAGCTCAGGCTCCGAAGGCACCATTAGAGGAAAAGAATGTGAATCAGTAATATGCCAGTGGAACACATTAAGCTTGTTAGCACTCATTGCTTCAATAGTCCTCAATATGTCATCCACCCCATAATAATTCCTTGATGTATCCAACATGACTCCCCTGTGAGCAAACAAGGGAGCATCCCAGACGTACAAGCCTACCGGAACAGCTGAGGGATCACCCCACACCAGCTGGGAAAACGTCTCTAGGCCCCTCATTGCACCCCATGTAGTTGCAGCTGTCAAATAGGCGGTGGCACCTACTTCAGAAATGGAGAGGGCGTAGGTTTCATTGACCCCATGTTGGAGGGGGGCGGTGAGATCAATTATATTGATGGTAAGAGTTTGCAAAGGAGGGGATGAGGTGGAAATGTTGACAGAAGGGGTGACAAGGGGATTGTGGTGCTCTGTCTGGATAAGGCGGAGGTAGCGGTTGATGGCCGGGATGAGGTATTGGTGGTTGGGGGAACTGATGGTGAAGTTTGGAGAGAGGAATGTGGCAAGTGGCTTTGGCCATAAAAGTAGTATCGGTTTAGGCCAAACATTGATTGCAGACTGCAAGGATAAGGTTGGAGCTGGAAAAATTAATGTTAGGCAGGCTATGATGACAAATTTTAAGATGGAAGGAAAGAAGACTTGGAACATTGAACTTTTTCCTTCACAATTTCTCATTTCGGTTGCCTTCTTCTTTATGCTTTGTGGTTGAGACTTTGGACCATTGAAAAAAAGGGACAGAAGTGCTTTAAATGATTCAATGCACTAATTGCTGTCCCAAACAACTTTTATAGTACTATTGCTTCGTTTTCTTCCCATTTGGAATTTTGCATTTGAAATGTCTATCCAAAGACTTTAATTTCCCCATTGTCTTTGTCACTAAGGAATTAAAAAATGTACATTAGAGAGAATTCTATAAACCAACCTTACTCATTGTTCATCCAAGGTAAATTGTGAGCCAGCCTACTACCTTTGAAATCAACGAAAACCAGTTGTAATACTTCAATTTTTTTCTATTCCAGTGAAAAGGGGTGATGGAAGAACATGATTTTTGTCTAATTTTCCTCTGCAAGTGCAAGAAATGAGCCCTTACTTGGCTTTGCTATTACAAAGTGATTTGCTATCAGTTTCGCTTTCCCTATTGACACATTTTTTTTTTAAACTCTTTTGGCACAAAAACAACAATCAAATATATTGTTAAATATTCTTGCTTTAAATCTCTTTTATTCAGTTACTATTTTTAGCTTTCAAAGTAGTATTGATTTACCTTCACATCAAATGTGCAGTAGGTTTCCATAGCTAAAGTCCCCATCACATATACATGCCGGCTTTGCCAATTGTCCATGATTATTGGAATCTCATTGCCGGCTTTGCCATTTTCTTCTATAAACTGAAGTAAATTTTCCCAGGAAAATTTTCAGGAGTCAACTCTATCCTTACCACCAAAGAATCCGCCGTCCTGCAATCAAGGGATATCAGCTTCCTTCTTGAGAACAGATACTGAAATTACTTAGTATTTGTTTCTAGCTTTGCCAATTGGCTACACTTAATATTATGGTACAATGACCTTGTTTTTCGAAGGACAAATAATAATAGTTATATTTAGTATTCACCAAAACAAGAAAATAAAAATGACGGACAAGAATTAATTGTCTGTCCATGACTACAAAAACAAACCTATAAATTCATCTGCGGCCAAAGTTGGAAGCTGAATCAAGGAGAATCTTTGTGCATTAGTTTTTTCCTATGTAATCTTGTTTTGTCTGGTTGTAATACCAGATTTGTACTTTTGCATAGCAGATTCCTGCTTAGTTTTGAACGAATGAAATTGCTCAAAAGTGCAGACTGACCAGGATAACAAATGGAAGCCAACAAAGTGATCCCTTAGTCGGCAACTATCTATTTCAATGAGATGAGAAACAAATTTTGGGGCCATAGCATTTGGCAGAATTTTGGTTAATTATGGCTACGAGAATTTCAGATGATCCAAAGCAATAAGCATAAAGGTTGAAAAACTATCTTTATACAACAATTAGATTTTTTTATTTAGGCAACAGACTAAATCTAGACATAATAATTTATATATTTATATTATATTTATTTCATGTCAAGTAAAATATGAAAATTATTATTACAATCAGTGTGAACATATCAAATACAAAATATATTTGACAATTTGATCATACTTATATAAAAATTTTGTCAATTTTACAACCTAAAAAGTTTTACTCATTTTTAAAATTGCCCCTCCTGCATTTTAATATAGAAAAATGGCACGAATTTGGTTTCGGCTTAAGCATAAGATTGGGATTGGTCCAGTTCAGTTAGTTGCCCCCCTAGTTGGGCTTCTCTTTCTCAGTCTGATTAAAAGTTGTTGAAATTGGGTTATTTCCTACATTGGGTCTGTTTCTTGATCTGTTAAAAAGTTGGGGCAGGCCTTTTTAATTTAAAATTAATAATCATTAAAACCCTAAAAACCTGTAAAAACAAACAATGAGAATCTAGCCCTGTAACTGGAACTGAAACTCAACGCAGTCTCCCCCTTTTCTCTTTATCCTCCTTCATCTCCACTCATTTGCTCTATATCCGTTGCAACTCAGCAAAGATTCTTCGTAGGCACAACACCATCTTCCTCAATAAACTCAGGCACTTTCCTTTCCAAAGATTCTTCCATTTTTTTTTTTTTTTGGTTTTCTTTCTGTTTCATTTTCATGAATTTTATTTTGTTTTGGTTTTGAACAGTTTCCATTGGTTTCACGAGATGGCAACAGAGGGAGGCAAGAGCTATGCCAGGAGAGACAAACTCCTCGAAATCGAGTCAAAGGTTAGAGTTTGGTGGGAAGAAAAAGATGTGTTTAAAGCTGAACCTAATGAAAAACCACCTCAACCAGGTGAAAAATTCTTTGGGAACTTTCCTTTTCCTTATATGAATGGTTTTTTACATCTGGGCCATGCCTTTTCGCTTTCGAAACTCGAGTTTGCTGCTGCTTATCATAGATTAAGAGGTGCCAATGTGTTATTGCCTTTTGCTTTTCACTGTACCGGTATGCCAATCAAGGCTTCAGCTGATAAACTTGCTAGGGAAATCAAACAATTTGGTGATCCACCCATTTTTCCTCATGAGGTAGTGGATGAGGAACCTAACCCAACAGAAGAATCTGACCCAAATGAAGATGCCAATGTGGCGCCTGATAAGTTTAAAGGTAAAAAGTCTAAGGCGGCATCGAAATCTAGTGGACAGATGTTTCAGTGGGAAATTATGAGGAGTTTTGGACTTTCAGATAGTGAGATATCAAAGTTTCAGAACCCGTATGAATGGTTGAAGTTCTTTCCGCCATTGGCTGTTCAAGACCTCAAGGCTTTTGGATTAGGTTGTGATTGGAGAAGGTCATTTGTGACCACAGATATGAATCCGTTTTTTGATTCGTTTGTTAAGTGGCAGATGAGGAAGTTGAAATCGATGGGTAAGATTGTTAAAGATATGAGGTATACTATATATTCTCCATTGGATAGTCAGCCATGTGCTGATCATGATAGGGCAACTGGTGAAGGAGTTCAGCCTCAAGAGTATACTATTATTAAAATGGAAGTGGTGCCACCTTTTCCAGCTAAAATGCGTGTTTTGGAAGGGAAAAAAGTGTTTTTGGCTGCTGCAACATTGAGGCCTGAGACCATGTATGGGCAAACAAACTGCTGGGTTTTGCCTAATGGGAAATACGGAGCCTTTGAAATCAATGAAACTGAGATATTTATTCTGACTGAGAGAGCAGCACTCAACCTTGCTTATCAGAAGCTCTCCCGCGTCCCTGAAAAACCTAATTGCTTGGTTGAACTGACTGGTTATGATCTGATTGGTCTTCCTGTAAAATCTCCTCTCTCATTTAATGAGATCATATATGCTCTTCCAATGATGACAATTCTAACAGACAAAGGTACAGGGATCGTGACCAGTGTTCCTAGCGATGCTCCTGATGATTATATGGCCTTACATGATTTGAAAGCAAAACCCGCTTTTCGGGCAAAGTTTGGGGTGAAGGATGAATGGGTATTGCCATTTGAGATTATACCCATCATTGACATTCCAGAATTTGGAGACAGGGCAGCTGAAAAAGTTTGTGTGGATCTGAAAATCAAAAGTCAGAATGAGAAAGAAAAGCTTGCTGAGGCGAAGAGGTTGGTGTACTTGAGAGGTTTTACAGAGGGAACCATGACTGTTGGAGAGTATGCAGGAAGAAGAGTCCAGGAAGCTAAGGCACTGATAAGGACCAAACTGATTGAGACAGGCCAGGCAATAATTTATAGTGAGCCTGAGAAGAAGGTTATGTCAAGGTCTGGTGATGAGTGTGTTGTGGCTCTTACAGATCAATGGTACATCACATATGGGGAACCGGAATGGAAACAAGTAGCTGAGGAGTGCTTATCCAACATGAATCTATACTCTGATGAGACACGACATGGCTTTGAACATACTTTAGGATGGCTGAACCAATGGGCTTGCTCACGATCCTTTGGGCTTGGGACTCGCATTCCTTGGGATGCAGAATTCCTTGTTGAGTCATTATCTGACTCAACCATTTACATGGCTTATTACACAGTTGCTCATCTTTTACAAAATGGGGACATGTACGGAAAAAGTGCCGATCTGGTTAAACCTGCCCAGATGACTGATGAGGTCTGGGAATTTCTCTTCTGTGGTGGTCAGTATCCCAAATCTTCTGATATCCCATCCTCTGTTCTTAACAAGATGAAGCAGGAGTTTGAGTACTGGTATCCATTTGATCTTAGAGTTTCTGGAAAAGACCTTATCCAGAACCATTTAACATTTTGCATCTACAATCACACAGCAATCATGTCCAAGGATCACTGGCCTCGTGGATTCAGGTGCAATGGACATATTATGCTTAATTCAGAGAAGATGTCCAAGTCTACTGGAAATTTCAGGACACTGCATCAGGCAATTGAGGAATTCTCTGCTGATGCTACAAGATTCTCTCTGGCTGATGCTGGGGATGGTGTAGATGATGCAAACTTTGTGTTTGAGACTGCCAATGCTGCAATCTTACGGCTTACAAAAGAGATTGCATGGATGGAAGAGATTCTGGCTGCAGAATCGTCTTTGAGGACAGATCCCCCATCTACCTATGCTGATCGGGTGTTTGAAAATGAGATAAACATTGCTGTCAAAATGACTGAGCAGAATTATAGGGATTACATGTTTCGGGAGGCTCTCAAGACTGGCTTTTATGATCTTCAAGCTGCCAGGGATGAGTATAGGTTCTCTTGTGGCAGTGGGGGCATGAACCGTGACCTCGTATGGCGGTTTATGGATGTGCAGACTAGGCTTATCACTCCAATCTGCCCTCACTATGCGGAGTTTGTTTGGAGAGAGCTTTTGAAGAAGGATGGCTTTGTGGTGAAAGCAGGCTGGCCCACAGCAGATTCTCCAGATCTGCAACTCAAGAGTGCCGATAAGTATTTGCAAGATTCCATTGTGTTGATGAGAAAGCTGCTCCAGAAGCAGATTTTGGGATCAAAGAAAGCTAATAAGAAAGGTGCTCCTGTTACATCGCTAACTGAGGACAAGTTAAAAGGCCTAATCTTTGTGAATGAGCAATTTGAAGGATGGCAAGCAGAGTGTTTGCAGATTCTCCAAAGCAAGTTCGACAATAAGACCCATACTTTTGCATCAGACGGGGAGATAATGAACGCATTGCAGGAGAGCACTGTTGGTCAGGCAGCAGACTTTAAACAGATCCAGAAACGTTGTATGCCATTCTTGACGTTCAAGAAGGATGAGGCTATTAAAATTGGTGCCCAAGTCCTGGATTTGAAGCTGCCCTTTGGAGAGATTCAGGTCCTTAAGGAGAACTTGGACTTGATCAAAAGACAACTTGGTCTTGAAGAGGTAGAAGTCTTGTCGGCCACTGATCCTGATGCTTATGTTCAAGCTGGTCCTCATGCATCCCTGCTAAAGCAGAATCCTCCATCCCCTGGAAATCCGACTGCCATCTTCCTGTCAAGGTGAAGGAACTTTGTCATTTTAGCATGCTATGTTACATCGAGGAAATGTTTTTTTGTTGGACTATTTGGTATCAGGCGTTCTAAATTGGTGTTTTCTCTCTGCATCTGTGTTTAATTGGGTGTTGAATAGCGAATGGTCACTTATGCTTAAATAAAAATTGAGTTTATTACTGTATGCAGGTAAAACATTTTATTGCTGTCTTCCAGAAATATTGCATCAAAATGCTGTTGTGACATGTCTTTGCTAACCTATGTGTTTTTCCTATTTTGTTTTGCATTTAAAGTCAAAGATTTTTTTTTTTTCTTTTGATATTTTCTTCTATCAGTTTTGCTTATTCATTCCTATTTGTTTTTTTAAATTCCAACATTATTGACCTGGTTCTTACTGTTAATCGCTCGCAATTGTACGAAAAAACACCAATGGTGTTTCAAAAGCAAGAAAAAGAACAGGTTTCCAGTTCAGATTACTGAGTGATCAGTGCTTGCATTGTCGCAATCCGGTTTCTAATGATGATGTGGTAGGAATCGTTTTCTATTGGTCATCCAAATAAAACATTAATAAAAAAAATTTAGTAAAAAAATTCTTGTTTTGTTACCATTTGAATTTAACATGGTAGTGCATGGAAAACATAGCCTAAGACAAATGATTTTTACTTAAACATTTCTACCACTACAAAAGGTTTTATAAGAATTTCATTTTTTTTATAGAAGAATTAAAAGAATTCTATTGTATTGTCATTACTCTTTCAATCTCATTTTTTTTTCAAAATTATATATTTTTTTAAAAACCTAAAATTCTTAATTTTTTTATATTCCAAACTTTTTTTTTCATAATTTTTTATTTTTTGATATTAAAAACTAGGAATTATATATTTTACAAAAAATTAAAGTTAATAATGCATGTTAAATCTCTCTTTTTTTTTTAATTCCAAAAAACAAATAAGAACATAAAATATGAAACAGAAGGAGTATCAAATATGAAAAAAAAAGTTGTTAAATGAAAAACAATGCACTTTCAATTGTTATATTGTTTAAAAAAGTGTTTATTGAACGAGTCAGTACAAGCGTATAACACTACTACTTTAGGTAATTGCAAAAATATTCCTCAATATAATGAAATTAGACATTCACCCCACAGGGACGTATTTGACATGTAAAAGAAAATCTTTCAGTTCTAGAAAAAGAAAAAATAATGGACCGTTAAAACTTCCTCTTTTCTTGCCTTAATTATCGGATCCTTTGGTTTACCATTTTTCACTTCAAATGCGTCCCCGTAAACTATTCCAATTTCCCACATTTTCGTGGAAAACTAATCACCATTTTCTCATTCTTTTCCATTTTGTGTCACGGAACAATGCTTGTTTTTCTTACCTTTTACTGAAAAACAGAGTCTTCTCTTTGATCAACCTGGTAAGTTTTAAGTTCAACTCTTAAGTTTTTTGTATTTGTTTCTTTTAATATGGATTGATTTATCTTTCTTTTTCTTTTTGCTTTCAATTTGTTTATTGCAGTCAATATGAATAGGAGGAAGTTAGCATACGAGAGACATCAGACCACGGTGGACTCGGAGACGCCAGGGACGCCGGCATCACCACTGACATCATCGTCGCCGATACACCGCCACGGACGGTCGGGATCAAGCTACGCAAGCGTGGGGAACATGAAGAAAGCGCAAACGAAAGCGGCGGCGCAAAGGCTGGCGGCTGTTATGGCACACCAGCAAAACGTGGAGGGTGATGATGATGACCAGCTTGATTATAATAACATTAATGGCACGGGAGGCATTGGACTCGCTGGTAGAAGAGCAACTCGTGCTCGTTCTCCTATGGTAATTTAATGTTACGTGATCTCAGGGGTAGGGTGTCGGATACAAGTATGTGTTCGAAACATGATGGTTTTGACAATTTTTACATTAATTTTGAGATTAAAGCTTCATATCAGTATGAATAATGAACTGTTTAAGAAGTGAAACAATGGATTAAAATATCTTTATATGTTTTTTTTAAACTTACCCCCTTATCAGTTCTGTCATAGGCACTTTTCTTTAATGGGCATTTTCAACACTATTTTGCTATGCAAGAGCTTGGCATTGGAAATAAATAATTCTTACTTCTTACCAGCTGGGTTTAACTTTGTAAAATCCAGAACAAAAACATGGCTCAAAGCGAGTTCCACAGGCAATGACACAACAACTAGCTGATGAGGACAATGATGAGGATGACATTTTAGTGACTGGCACGCCAAGTATAGGGCTTGGTGGTGGAAGAGCAATGCAGTCACGCTCTCCTATGGTAATTATATCGAATTATCTAATACTAGGAATTTGGTTTAGGTTGACCTATGCTATGTTAGTTAAGTGAGAGGTAAGAGAAAAAAGAGCGAGTTGAATTAGGCAAGTTAAAAGACACTTTCCTTAGCTATGATCATGACTCAATTAAGTATTAAATTCTCTTATGCTGCTCTAAACTCTAAATTTGTTCATGGTTGCATGTGGTAGAGTTATGACTTATGACATTGCAAGTCAATTTATTCTTACTTGGACTTGCATTGTAAAATCCAGCACAAAAACATGCCTCAAAGGCGAGCTCCAGTAGTGATGACACAACAACCAGCTGATGAGGATGGACTTTTAGTCAGTGGCACAGCTAGCATAGGTCTCGCTGGTGGAAGGGCAATGCGGTCACAGTCTCCTGCAGTAATTATCTAACACAAATTTGGTTTTAGCTATACCAGCTGCATGTGTGTCAAAGTGAGACGCACAAACTTGTTGTAGTTCAATAAATTCCATTTGACAAGTTAAAATAACACTTCTCTATAAAAGATTTTTTTGACCACTATTAACTGTATTATCAATTTGTCATGCATTGTAATGTATTTCAAACTCTCTTATGCTGCTCTAAAGCTTGTTCATGTTAGCATGCTAGCTGGTTTTACATTGCAAATAAATATGTTCTTACTGCAAGTTATCTTGTAAAACCCAGAACAAAACATAGCTCAAAGGCGAGCACCACAACAACCATCTGATGAGGACAATGATGATGATGACCTTTTAGTGAGTGGTACCTCAAGCATAGGGCTCGCAGGTGGAAGGGCTATGCAGTCATGCTCTCCTGCGGTAATTATATGACTATCTGATTTAGATAGACATGTTTGTCTAGTGAGCCTCAGGGAAAGAAAATGAATGCAATTAGACAAGTTAAATTCTTAGTTTGAGCTACATTTATAACAAATTTTAAATTCTCTGGACATATAATAGGTTTTATCTAAAATTGCTCAAGTTGTTTAAGTTTCAGACTTAAAATTTTAAATTTATCTTTTTGTCATTTTAACTTTTGGAGCTATGAAAGTACTGTGTTTTTATAAGCTTGGCTTGAGCTGTCTCTGATAAATGTAACATTTTGTCAACACTGTATGAAATGGAACGTGAGAGTGTGAACAAGATAAGTCGTAAGCTAATAATTGAGTGACCTGTTCATGCATGCTTGAGCACTGGAAATCAGTAATTGACTGATTTAGTCTTTAAGGACTCCGAATATTCCTTAATGCATTATTACTTATTACAAAGAGAAGTGTATTATTCAGCTGACTAGTTGTTTGGTAACCATATGGGTCTTGCGTGCAAAATTACTTATTTGATTTTCTTATCAGTACAAATTTGGTGATTTGAACATATTGTTGTTTATAATTGGGTTGCTGCTTGAAATGTGTTTAGGGAAGAAAGTTTAATATTAAGTTGCAAAGGAATTTGTTGAATAAGATAATTCATAGATGTCTAATCGTTAGTTTGTAACTTCTGTGACTTACACATTACATGCAAAAGCCTGATGCTACCAACAAATATGTTCTCAGTGGACTAGCACTGTATAATTTTGCAGACTAAAAACATAACTCAGAAGCGGCTGCCACAAGTTACTACACGGAAAGCATCTGATAAGGGCGATGATGAGGATGACCTTTTAGTTAGTGGCAGAGCAAGCATTGGTATTGCTCGTGGTAGGGCAATGCAGTCACGCCCTTCTATGGTAATTATGTGATTTCCTATTATGAATTTGTTTTAGCTATTTCTTGCTTGTCATGCTAATGTGAGAGAAGAAGCATGAGCTTGAGCAGACAAGTTATGATGTGAGTTTAAGGAAAAGATTTACGGTTAATGCTGGAGTTTTATGCTACTGAGAAATGCATTCTTATATGGACTTCCATTCGTAAACACAGGCCAAAACTATGGCTCAAAGGCCTGTGCAACAAGTAGCACAGCAACCAGGTGATGAGGACAATGATGTGGATGACCTTGCAAATAATAATAGTTCAGCGAGTGGCACAGCAACCATTGGACTTGCTTGTGGAAAAGCAATACGTTCATCTTCTCCCTCGGTAATTTGTCTGTTAACTGAGTATGCTCAGTTATCTAAATTTTTTGTTTGTTTAATGCTTATATTACTTATGAATGTAATTCTTACTTGTAACTTTAAATTTGCTATTAGTCAGTTCATATCAATCAGGATCAACCACCATCTACACGTTCCACACCAGGCAGTCAAACCTCTCTATCTGTCAACAATATGGAGCAACCATTATCATCTTATTCAAGTGGCCAACCATCTCACTCTATCAGCTCTGTGGAGCAACCCATGTCTCCTTATTCCATTTCAGGCGGACAACCATCTCTGCAGGGTTCTGCAGAACAGCCAACTGCTGGCCGGTTATGTCCATTAACCAGATCCATAGAGCAACCTTTATCTGCTCGTTCCACAGCATCAGGTCGCCAACATTTAGGAGTCAAGGCAGTTCCTGTGATACCTCATACAGTGCCTATGCCACTGAAGCCAACCTCATCTGTTAGTTCAACAGAGGCTTCAACTGATAATCGGAGAGATAAACAGTATATTATAGCTCTAAGCTGGTGTGATTTCAGTTTGAAGGATGAAGTTATCATCCATATCGTAATCCCCTCCAATTTTTTTCTTTCGTCACCCTTATATTTTTTTGTTAGTTTTATACATATAATGTGAATTTTCCCTTTTAACTTGGTCTTTGAAGTTTTAGATATATTAGAAAGAGAATGAGGAAATCTGCCATCAAATGGAGCAACTTCTCTGATTCGTGATTTAGAAGCGATTGAGTGTCATAAATTTAAACAACATTAAGAACATTCTTATATAACATAGTCACAAGATAATAGATATATATGAGTAATTCAGGTCCTTATGTTTTCATCTCTACAGTAAGAAAGGCTTTGTTGCTGCTCTTCCAGTATTCAAGAATGCATAATGCCCTCCCCTGGAAATATTTAAGCCCATCACCGTCATGCGTTTTTCTCAATTAATAATGTTAGGGTCTCAAGATCCTGGGATCATGTAAAATGCCCATTGCACTGGTTTAGGTTCTTTCTTTGTTTCATCTATAGTGCTCTAAAATTTATAGTGTAAGCAGATTGTCTTCAGATTTTGGGAGTATGAGCAGTTTGAAAGATAGGGGAAGACAGCAGTCTACTTCTGCTTTACAAGATGAGGTACAGTCACGTTAAGCTAAATATGTGTTTCCTTCTAGCATATATTCGTTGCAATTTTATTTTTTTCTTTTTTGTTTCTAAGGAATTATTTGAAAGCAGGTGTATAGGTCATCATATCTTCTTTTTCAAAAACCTAATTAATTTGTTCAAGTCTGAACACTTCAATTTTCAGTCTATGTGATCAAACACATGAAGAAGCTTAGGAAAATGTTTATTTTTATCTTCCAGTAATGTGGTGTGAATTTCATGGCAGCTTGATATGCTACAGGATGAAAATGAAAGTTTAATTGAAAAGGTGATTCCAGCAACTTTTTTCTTCTTTGTTATGTAACTTGTTCTATTGTTGTATCTAGTAAAGTTGTATGAAAAGTTTTATTTGGAAAAATGATATTGTATTCATGCACATCAATTTGGCTCTCCATCATCTTCAAGCACTGAGCCAATATCCTAAATTGTTGCAACAGTTATCTTCAAATGAACGGGCATAATCTATCTGAATACTGGCATTTGGATATAACTTTTGCAACACCATTTTCTCCCAAAAACTCTGATGTAATTAGGTTAGCCAACTAAGTGCTTTGGCCTACGGAAAATGTTAATAATAGTCTTATACTGTTATTTTTGCCCATGATATTTGCCTTCCCAGCTTCAACTTGCAGAGGAGAGGTGTGAGGAAGCAGAAGCAAGAGCTCAGCAGCTTGAGAAACAGGTGAACTTTTCTCAGTTTAAAGAAAACTAAACAAGAGAAATGTAAATGAACTTTATACCGCTCCAGCAAGCAAAATTATGTATTTGTTTACTTGATTCATAACATGTTCAATATAGATTGCTAATCTTGGAGAAGGTGTAACTTTAGAAGCACGTCTTTTAAGCAGGCAAGTTTATGGCTTACAAGAATTTAATGTTATATTGTGATTTATTTTTCCTTTTTCTTATGCGCTATTTGTCTTCCTCTTCAGAAAGGAGGCAGCCCTGCAGGAAAGGGAGGTTTGTACTTCTAAAGAGTGCCACTCTTTTCTTGTCTCAAACTAATCTGCATGTGTTATCAGTCTCATTATGCATGGAAAATTACATAATACTCGATAACTATGAGCCTTAAAAGACATTCTTTTGTCTTGTAAGTGTGTGTTTACTGAGTTTATTTATGCTTATTTCTGCATCTTTTTATGCATCTCTCTTTGTGAGATGGTACTGCTTTCATGCATAGATAGGTTTATTATATACACCTGAAGCAGGCATGTGCATGAAATTTTTAGCATAAATTTTAAAATGAGAATCTGATATGTAAAAATAAATGCCGACTCAACAGTCAATAGACACTAAGCACAGAAGTTGGTGTTTGCTTTAGATCTGTAGGAAGGATTGCCAGAGGTCATGCTTTATTCATTCTTAACATCTTCAATAGTTTCATTGCTTTTGTAGATCTATCTAGTCCTGCTTTGTTGCTTATAACTGACTTCTTTTTGCAAAAATCATTGTGCTACTTTAATTCTTTTACTTTTACATTTTAGTCTGGACATGGTTTATGAACTGCAGCTGAGTAGCATATGACATTGTTCTTCTTGCAGGCTGCTTTAAGAGCTGCAACGCAAACTCATGGTGGTATACCCGAACAGATTGCTTCTCTTCGGACAGAGGCTGAGGTATTTTGAAATTTTATGTTGTATGCTCTGGCTTTTTCTTTTGAATTTTACCATTCTTAAAAAGGGGGAAATGTTCTTGCTTAACTTAATTTTCTCTGTTCTATAATTATGAGCTAGATTGCCAGAGATGAAGCAACATCTGCCTTAGATAAGCTCCATGAAGCGGAGTGTGAAATCAAATCTCTGCAAACAGTAACTCAAAGGATGATGCTGACTGAGGAAGAGATGGTTGACTTTATTTCTAATCTTGCAGAAATCATTTTGTCAGTTTACTCCTTTATGTCATAGTTACGTAATCTGCAGTTTTCATCTTAGGAAGAGGTTGTTTTAAAGAGATGCTGGCTTGCTCGTTATTGGAGTTTATGTGTGGAACATGGTAAAGTGTTGATATTTAAATACGTGAAATTCCTGATTGTTTTTGAGTTGATGCTGCTGTATTGGATAAACAGTTGCCTCTAATAATCACCATAAAAGTTAAAGCACTGCGTTCCAATATAAAATGGTTAGGTGAATCCTGAGAGTAATTAAAGTTGGCAACTGCAGTCAGTTTCTTTAATGTGCAAACCCATAATTCTGTCTTTTGTACATTTTGTATGAAGCTGCTTAGATTTCTCAAGGACATGACCTTTTGCAGGTATTCAGGCAGAGATAGCTGGGGCAAAACATGAATATTGGGTCATCATTTGCTCCTCTTCCGTTGAAATAGTATTAGCTGCTGGGCAAAGAGGCCAAAGAGGGAGGAATCTTCAATGTAAGATTTCCATTTGATCTGGCATGCTTTAATTCAACCACGTTCCATATATTCCATCTGACCTTTTGATAGGATTGGAAAATGAACTATTTCGATGATCTTTTCCATTTGGTTTTTTATGCTCTATAGAGTCCTCAAATTCTCTCTCTCTCTCTCTCTCTAGTGGAGAGAAAACTAAATGTCCTCAGTTTTGCTTAATCTTTGTTGTCTATCTCCATATGAACAGCGAACAATGATTTAGAAGAAAGAGAAAAGGTCCTGCAAGACTTTGGTGCACGTATCTGGAGAGAGAAATGTTGAAAGGCAGTGCTTTTAGTTAGAAACGGTCTAAGGGAACTGGCTTTATTTAAGGGTTCTTCTGCCGTATCCCTTGTGTTTGCAGTTGTGATATCATCTATCTTCTTCTCACTTATCATCAATTCATCAAGAGTTATGGATGTAATAGCACATGCTATCTTCCTTCTTATGCGCTTTCTTATTATTATTTTTTATCAATTTAATGATAATATCACATGACATGGTCAGTTTGCTTGCAGTCTTAAAGAATATTTTCCCCTGTATTTGGTGGTTCTTTTAAATAATTTATCTTTTCTGAAGGTAGAGGATGCAGTTGCATTTGCAATGGCTAAAAATCGACGCCAGAATTTGCTAAAAACTGGTATTATTTTTCTTTCCTTTTCGAACAACATGACATCTATTAATAAAGGGAGAATCTGCCATTCTATTGGCATGTAATAACATCTTTAGAATTGATATTTCATTGTCAATGCAAAGTTGTGCATGAGTGGCATGCTTTAAAATGCAGAAGATGTGTCGGTTGCTTAACAATTTTTTCCTTTTTACTGTTATCATGTTTGCAGATGAGGTGAAACTACCAACTGAGGGTCAATTTGAGGCATTTGGTAAGTTAATCTCAATTCCTAGTACTGATTAATATAAACCTTTTTTCGTCTTAAGCTCAGTAATGTGCTTGCTTAAGTGAATGGAAGTGTTTGTTATGCATCTATTCCTGTATTCTGTTTACTCCCGTTTATGGTAATTGGGTTTTGGATCTAATAACTATTCCTAAACCAAGCAAAAACAAAAGCACTGAAATAAAGGAAATTTTCTTTCAGAATTGAGCCAAGAGGAGTCTGAAGATGTTCGTTTTAAGCAGGTATGATGTTTCCTTTATACTAACTTCTTTTGCTAAGAAAAATTATAATGTTGTTAAGGCTCGAAGCTAATTATTTTTTTCTCTTGGCTCTTATGTTCAAGTTTATCTTCATTGCAAGCATTTTAAAAGCGATTAGTCACAAGAAATCTTCAGCTAGTCTTCTCCCTAGGAGTATGGTCTTGGATAAAGTACTTCACACTCTTATGATTTAGGGAAAGTAATAACATTGTGAGAAAACAAGTCTCTTTTTATATTTTAAAAATGTAGAATAACTTTGGTGTTGATGGATCTTGTACATATAGCATGAGGCAGACTTGAAGGTTGTGAAATTTCAAAGGCATGGTGAGGCACTTGAAGTTCTACATCTACCAGTAGTCTGCTTGATCAAGTTTTGTGTTTGACTAG